ATCAAGAGGTTTAAAATTGTTTAATAAGGTTTATTATATTACTAAAGAATACATGACTGATAATCACCCCTGGGAATGAGTTAAGCGCTACCATGATGTTTCCAACGTTATCACACTAATTGTTTAAAATAATAGATATCTAGTAAATTAATTTTATTTAAAAGAAAATCACGCTGGGTTTCTTGCTGGATTTTTTAATAGAATAAGGTTGACAAACGAGTACACAGGCCACCTGATGGTAAGTGGATTCTGTGGCCTCTACATCTACATTTACCCACGATTAAGAATCAAAACGCAGATGCGTTGTACCTTGAGAACTAAGATGGAATGCCTCCTTCCCAGTCAGAAGGGTCTCCGGTTCTCTACACTCACCACACGAAACACAGCAGCAATAAACTGCTATTTACGCTGGCATTCTGTGAGAGCTAGGTACTAACCCTGGTCTTGCTGACCCATTCGTGCTACAACTATAATATGGCTGCAGCGTGATTCTTTCCAGGATAGAGGTTTATTCCGAACCAGTGATAAAAGTAAAAAATGATTTTTAATAAGAATTACATGTAATCCTTCTTCTATTTCGTGCTGGATACGTTCACAGCATGTTCATGGTATGAGACAATATAGTGACCCGAGAAACAAAGTTATAAGAATTATTTTATAAAAATAAAACCACAAAACCGTTGTATTAATCGATAACGCAATATTTATTAAACTGGCAATGTTATTAAAATAATATATACAATATAATGATTACTCTTGCTACATTCGGTATTACTATCACTCTCTATTCTTCTTGTTGCCTGGTGGTAAGTAGCTACTGAAGCCCATGAACACCTGCAAACTACTTTTTACACCCGGTAGAGCTACGCTGCAGCTATACTATAGTTGTTGTACAATGGATCGGCTCGACCGGGTCAGGACCACGCTCTCTCAGAATACCAACGTAAAATAGCAGCTTAATACTGCTGTGTTTCGTTTGGTGAGTGAAGAGATCCGGAGAGCCTTTTTACTGGAACAGAAACAGAAACAGAAACTTTTTTATTCAATGTAGATTATAAGCAATACTTATTGAGTAACTTTTTTCATTTACCACTGGTTCGCAAAAAAACCTCTATCCTGGGAAGAACCAGCAAGAAACCCAGCGGGACTATTTTTTTTTTCAAATATTAGCTTACAATCATGTTTACAATTAACAACACTACACAAAAGAAATAGCTTGGTAGCGATCACCCTTCCCAGGGGTTATTATCATCCATAAATTCCTTAATATTATAATAACCATTTTTATACAAACTTAGTTTAATAACATTTTTGAACTTTGCGTATGACAAATTTTGTATATTTTCTGGGATTTTGTTGTAAAAGCGTATACATCGCCCCAAGAATGAATTACTGACTCGGTGGAGTCGAGTAACTGGTACTTCTAGCTTGTGTCTGTTCCTAGTATTTACAGAATGAATATCACTTATTTTTTGCAAAACTACGTTTATTCTTGTGTACGTACATTACATTTTCATAAATATATTGAGAGGCCAGAGTTAATATATTAATTTCCTTAAATATTTGTCTCAGTGACTCTTTTGGTTTAAATTATATATTGCTCTAATGGCTCTCTTCTGTCTGGAAATGAGGCATTCCATTTTAGTCCTCAAGGGTTACAACGCATCTGCGTTTTGATTCTTAATCGAGGATACATGTAGATGTCTATGGGCCACAGCAACCACTTACCATCAATTGGACTGTGTACTCGTTTGTCACCCTTATTCTAAATCAAAATTATATTTGAAGAAAAAATCCAGTCGAAAAATTAGAGATGTAGTTTGGAGATAAAAAAGAAGAATATAATTATTTAGAGAATAGTCTAGATATTATCTTGCACCCACGACATTCTTTAATCTCCTCAAAAAGAAAAAAGTTAAACTTTTAATAAAACGTCTATAACCAACTTTACAAAAAAAAATATTTCAACATAACAGCTCCTTCTTCTTCGATACACTAAAATCTTAACACCAATGACTCGGTGTGGAAACTAGAATTTGCTTTATTCTACGTATTTAGTTTTTGAAGTTCGTTTTCACCTTATTTATACTCCAAGAGTTTTACTTTTTAATTAAGAGGTTTTTTACTTTACAGTTTAGTTTAAAGTTAAGGATTAGGAAGCAATATAATATTATTAAAGGGCTTGTTAATTCTAGTAGAATTATTTGCCATTGAAAGTGGTGTGAAAAAATAAGTGATCAACTAGTCAAAAATATATACTTTTATCGTTTTCAATGTAATTTGACAAGTTTCTTTCTAATTTGTAACTGATGTAACTGATATAAGACACGCAATCTACTAGCAATAAACTTGACAGACGAGAAAGCAAACGCTAGTCTTGTGATCACGGAATATACTTAATACTATTTTAAACGATAAAAACAACTTTCATTGCTTATTCTATCCTATACTGATCTGTATTCTAAGCTATTTTTTTTTATACTAACGTTTTCGTATCGCCATTGATAAAATTTTAAGGAAATATGAAGTATGAACAGCGACCTGGAAACACATGCAGGAAGTCGATGGATGCAGGTGTCTCACGACCATTTGTGGCATTCCTTGCAGGAGGCCTATATACAGCAGCAGCCTTGTGAGTGTTGTAATGAAGGTGATTACAATTACCAGCGCCTGAGCTTTAACGTGAAATGTAGTTCGATTTGAATCGGCCATGGACTTTAATCATATTTCGATACAATTTTAGTCTATGATGCGAAAATGTTGTTGTCAAAAACTTGCGATAAGGAGGAGTCATGTCTTTAATTAAAAACTGACAACGTCTGACAACCTAGTCTTATGGTAAAATTAATTAATTAAACGAAAATGCAATAACAAAACTGGATTTAATGAATAAACGCGTAGACTGAATTATTTTATTTATTGTAACCCAATACATAATTTACATTGAAGAGCCAATTATATTAATGTAAATCGACTAGAAGAGAGACTGACTTTTGTGTATTACACGAAAATATTCATATCATAGATATCCACACATCAAAGGTTTCATTTTTGAAATTGACGTAAAAGAAAAATAAACACAAACACAGGTAATAAAACACATCTGATTAGGTAAAATAATAACGATAGGAAAAAAATAACGATCTAAATTTTGCCATACGTCAATTTAATGACCTCTTTGACCCAGTAACAAAGAGTTGCCAGCACGCAATGATAGTGATATTAGTAATTCACCAAAACATATGGAATAGTAAACTATTCTACATGATATATATTTTATCTTTACTTCCAAGTGGAGCAGTGGACAGTTACGAGCTAATGGTAAAATATTAGCTATATAAAAGTTATTTTTATATTTTATATATATTGATATTCTTATTAAAATTCTTTTTCTATATATAAGTTATTTTCTATAAAATGGCATTTGGTAACCATTTTATAGCGAACTAACCTGGTTGGCTCAATGTTGCTCACCTAGCGATGGCTATGCTCGAATTTCCTCTGGTGGATAAAATTAGTACTGATGAAACCCGCCTAAGAACCAAGATTACTGACATAGCCTTCCGTATTTGTAAACTGAAGTGGCAACGGGCTGGTCATGTCTGTCGCGGAAGTGACAACTGGTGGAGTAGACGTGTTATGGAGTGGAGAGCGCGTTTAAGCTAACGTAGTGTGGGACGCCCGCGCCCCCTGACCAGATGGAACTACAATCTGCGCAAGCTGACTGGTAGAAACTGGATGCGGTAGCCGAAGATTGGGATAAGTGGCGCGCCTCGGGAGAGGCCTATATCCGCAATTGGTCTACCGCAGGAAGATGATGATGATGAAACGTATTCACGTCCACCGGATGGTAAGTGGCACCACTGCAGCTCATGGAAACATACAACCAACTTCAAATGACGAAGCCCCTTACTTTAGACCGAAATGCATCATTTCGGGAACTGCACCTTAGCCAACTTAATAGGTAAGACTGTGGTGCCCACGCAGACCGACTCCTAGACAGTAGGAGAGACCACCTCGTGTACAACATAGACATTTATTTCATTAGTAGATTTCATTATTGCCGATCTACATGTAGAATAATACTATATACTTCATTATTATATTATCCATGCTGCAACTATATAAGTAGCATAGTTGTAGTACAAATGGGTCGGCTCGACCGGGGAAGAACCACACTCTTACGGAATACCAGCGTAAAATAGCAGCTCAATGCTGCTGTGTTTCGTATGGTGAGTGTAGAGAACCGGAGACCATTTTTACTGGACATGAAGCATTCCATCTTAGTCCTCACGGGTGACAACTCATCTGCATTTTAATTCTCGATTACGAAACGATACGGATAGATGTAGATGACTTTGGGCCACAACAACCACTTACCATAAGGTGGACTCTGTGCTACTTTGTCACCCTATCCTATAAAAAACATACATTTATGCATTAAAAATTTAGTTAAATGTCTGTTTAGTTACATGACACTTGAAGCCGACACTGACCGCTTTATTAATATCATATCATAGCACGCCGCGTCGCTCGCAGCATCCGCGGTCCAGGTCAGCGAAATGCACCTACTTTCTTTTCGCTGCATCTAGCGAACGTTATGTACGAAAATCTACGCGATCCCAGCAATTGTAAAAACAATATTATTTAAATTTGCACTTTATGATACCGTAGTTACGGTCGATAGGTAAACGACTGTAAACACACGATATCGCCACTGAAAAATATACCGTAATGGTAATAAATTACGGTTGTGTTTGCAGTGTACTTTATTACGATCGTTTGTATACTATATACCGTACTCGTATTTTAAACGTAGACGTAGATATAGGTTGGCGTTGTTAGTCGCTCGAGAGCAGCGGCGAAGTGCGGACTTACTGCGTGTTATTTATTATATAACGAACTTTGTATGTGCTATATTTTAAAAAATTGTGAATAACAATGGCTTGTGTTACTTTTTGTATAGTGAGCGCTATAGTGTGGTAAACTGTGAGAAAGCGATGCAAGTTCGCATGCTGCTGCCAGAGGAATCTTGTGCCGGCATGAAGGGTCAACCGGTTTGGTGAGTTCACTTACCGAACACTCGAATGTAGATTAGAAAGCCCTCGCTGATACATCTAAGCTCATAGTTGCGTTCATTTTTAAATCAGGATAGGATAAGGATTAGGATTTTAAATCAGGTTCATTTTTATATTCAAGTATCTTCTTACAGCTGAAGGCTTTTAAAAGCTATAAAGCGATGTTTCGACTTGAAATGCAAATTTTTGAATTATGAAATATCTTATCTAACTTACGACTTTTGAAAAATTTTAGATCGGTATATAATTTAAATACCATTGTCCACAAGTAGGGCAGGTACAATTGTAGAGATCTGGAGTGGCAACGCATCTACGTTTTGATTCTTAATCGAGGATAAATGTAGATGTCGATGGGCCACAGCATCCACTTACCATCACGTGGGCTATGTGCTCGTTTGTCACCCTTATTCTATAAAAAGGGCTACCAACCTTATTTATAAATGAAAAAAACTTTAATAAATTGTTCCACTATATCGGAAGTTCAAATACTGTATGTATATAGTACAAAAATATAGCTTTCCTATATTTTAATAAGGGCTCACTAAAACGTGAGGCACTCAAAGCAGAAAAAAAATTCCATTAAGTAAAATAATTTTTTATTTGAATAAATATTTTATTTTGTCGTCATCTCCTAGATTTTATCAGATAAAAGCTCTGAAACTGATATTTGATATCAAAGTTAGTAAACTTATACACAAGACTCATTTTAATCATAATTTCATGATTAATGATTAATTAATTTAAATTAATTTAAACGTGGTTTTTTTTTTTGTGTTAACGCCCTTTTTTAACACTCTTGCTTTTTTTTTGGGGGGCCCCCTCACAGGGGGACTTGTGCCGTTTACCTATTAAAAAATATTAAAATTTTTTTTTTTTTTTAATAACGTGTAATATTTTATATCAGCGGAATATAGCGATTAATTTTTTATTCCTCTAAAATTATTTAAATGTGTAACTTTTATCTAACGTCTGGATGGCAGAACACAAGAATATTGATAACTTTCCGTGTTCTACATACATATTAATGTGTTAACTACGCTCCCGTTTCTATAGCTTCATCTATGTAAGCCCTACACAGTTTGATCAGAAAAGTTATGTACGGACACCGATATAAAGGTACAGAAAAACAATAATTTCCCATTAAGGTTCAGAGATTAACATTAATTTTGCACTAATATTGATAGGTATTCAAATCACACGATTTAATTAGGTAGGAACTTATCTGCCATCATTTAAACACTGGGTTGGTTATCATGCCATCCTACGTAGGATCTTCTATCACTAAGCAATAAACCCACCCAGTGTGTGGTATATTAGGTGGTTGGGTTTATAGCTGCTTGCTGGTTTGAATGCCAGGATAGCCAGTATAAATTAAAGGCTCTGAGACCTTTCATCTTTGTCCTCAGTGGCGACAACGCACCTATGACCTTCTTTATAGTTGGTTCGCAGTTCTCCCTGCAATAGCCGGAAATTGACAAAAAGAGCTGACTAAACCGTTCATCACTGTAAGAACTTTTAAAAAATAGATGGATACACTTACTGCCGAACCCTGCGACTGCCGATTCTGTGAATTTAATTAAATAGGTGTTATTATGTTATGGAGTACATATGTTAGAAGATAACGCTTTAAGAGTCAATGCAATCAAATAGGGATTCTTTTTTTTTAAATTAAAAAGATGCACCCATGAAATTTTTCATGTTCGCAGATTTAGATAAGTTTAGGTATATTTTTTGCATACCTAATTAGGAGGAAATACGTACTAAATTTGATAATTTACACACTTAATAAATATTAAACTAATAAATAAAAATCTGACTTTATAAAAGGTAAAAACGTAATTCAAAGAACTAAAAAGAACAATTGAATTATTTTCACATAACAGTGTATCGAAGAAATAAAGTTGAATTTTTTAACTTTTTTGATAGGCAATATCACAACCTCAAGGTAATAACTGGAATTTCGTCTAAATAATATTTCATAACCTAGTCCTACTCTCAGGGATAGCTTGATTTTAAATGTGGACTCATATAAATTAGAGTATAGTCTATTTAATAAAGATACTACTTAATAAAAAACGGTTCACAATTAACGAAGATATAACGTAACATTCATACAAAAATAATACGATCAGAATATGAACATCCCCCTCTTTTGAAGTAGGATTATTAATGTGTGGATTGTGTTAGTATAAAAATTACTTTAACCCTGCACTTGTAGAGCATAGTAGAGTATTCTATACATAGCGTGTACATTCTACCGATAAAATATTTGAAATACAGTTACCGCTATTCATAACTGTTGTTACACTAACTATTATAACAGCATTAAATATGGTAAACAAGAAAGAAAAAGAAAGAAGGGAACAATGATATGTAGTCACTTTTTTCGGTTTTTTCTTTTACTACTGTTTGAGTGTAGGATTATGTTTGAACATTTTTCTTCATAACTCTGCATAAAAAAATCATTTAGTTCAGTTACTGTTTTAGAATACCTTATGCCTTTCTAGCAACCTTTTCAAGTCCTCTGCTAGCAACACGCATATACACGTATAGCTAGCACATAGAAACATAAGAAGTTTGTTTCTTGTTATGTTATTTGTTTTCTCAGGGTATAATAAAGAGTATTGTATTTTATTGAAGGAAATAGATACTGTATAAGATAAGTATGCGGCTTCCAGGTCGCTGTTCATACTTCAAATTTCTATACAGTTTTAGTCAATGGCAATACGAAAACGTTAGTATCAAAAAATGTTTAAGGGCACAGATAAGTATCGGATAGAAAAATAAATGAAAGTTGTTTTTATCGTATAAAATAGTACTACATTCCGTGATCACAAGACTAGCGTCTTTGCTTTCTCGTCTGTCAAGTTTATTGCTAGTAGATTGCATGTGTTATATCAGTCACATCAGTTACAAATTAAAAAGAAACTTGTCAAATTAGATTGAACACGATAAAAGTATATATTTTCAACTAGTTGATCACTTGATTATTAACATCACTTTCAATGGCAAATAATTCTGCTAGAATTAACAAGCCCTTTAATAATATTATATTGCTTCCTAATCCTAAACTTTAAACTAAACTGTAAAGTAAAAAACCGATTAATTAAAAATTAAAACTCTTGGAGTATAAATAAGGTGAAAACGGGCTTCAAAAACTATATACGTAGAATAAAATAATTTTCAGTTTCCACACCGAATCAATGATATTATAAGTTGTCATTGCACCGAAGTCAGTGGTGCTAAGATGTTGAAATATTTTTTTTGTAAAGTTGGTTACAGACCTTTTATTTAAAGTTAACCTTTTTTTTTTGAGAAACATAAAGAATGTCATGGGTGCAAGATAATATCTAGACTGGCGTCTGAATAATAATATTCTTCTTTTTCATCTCCTAACTTCATTTCCAATTTTTGAACTGGATTTTTTTCTTCAAATATATATTTTTTATAGAATAAGGGTGACAAACGATCACACAGTCCACCTGATGGTAAGTGGATGCTGTGGCTCATAGACATCTACATTTATCGTCGACTGAGAATCAAAATTCAGATGCGTTGTCACCCCTGAGGACTGAGATGGAATGCCCCGTTTCCAGTAAAAAGGGTGTTCGATTCTCTACACTTACCATACGAAACACAGCAGTATTAAGCTGCTATTTTACGCTGGTATTCTGTGAAAGCGTGGTCCTTCCCCGGTCGAGCCGACCCATTCGTGCTACAACCATATTATAGCTACAGCATGGCACTACCACGTTTAAAAATGGAGTACATAAAATCTTTTTAATAAAAAAAATTAAATTAATATTACGAATTAATATTTAAATCGAATCAGTCGTTACGAATAAAGAACTTCCTCCTTTCTTTAACTCGGTTGGTAATATTTCATTTTATTATTATTACCTTAAAGAGACAAAGAGAGCTTGAATTGTGTTAAGTGTGCAGTCTCTGGGACGTCTGCAACTTCGGACAAAGAATAAATCTAATTTTACAGATCCTATCGCGTTTAATTTCACTTTTTTTTTAATTCTCGATGTGTCGAGACCTTTACAGCATCTGCGGTCGGGCGGTCTCATTAAATTAGTTTTATTTAAAGTGTCGTTAGTGTTCGCGTAAATGCAAGAAATTATTTCAACAAAGAGGTTAAGACATATTTTTTTATACAATAAAAGTGATAAACGAGCACACAGTCCACCTGATATGTATTTTAAAAACCGTTACTTAATTAAACTTTGATTTTCTAATTTCGTGGAAGCGTTTTACAAACATAAATTGCAAATGGGCAAACATCTAGACTCGGAACATATTGTTTGTAAGTTATACAACACTTAATAACTTTAATAACCGTGGTAGTTCAGGATTCAAACGCAGCCGCAAATTACACGCGAGCAAACCGGGTTCAATTCCCGACGGTAACGATGTATTTAAATGCCGGTTTACTACGTGCTCGGCGGTAAAAGAAAATACCATGAGAAAACCTGCATGATGTGAAATAAAATATTTTGACATGTGATTATATACCGTACTGTTCCACTCGAACTGCGCGGCGTAGATTGCTTCAAACGGAAAACCTTCTCAGAAATTAGTTATAATAGAAGGATTAAAAGCTTAATCCTTAGAGTTGTTATTTTTTGTAAAATAAGAGTGAGAGACGAGTATATAATTCACCTGATAGTAAGTAGGTGTTGTAGCCTAGTAGTCACTCTACATCTATCCTCAATTGAAAGTGAAATATTAGATGCGTTATCACCCCTGAGGACTATCATATTCGTAGAATGCCTCTTTGCCAGTAAAAAGGGTCTCCGGTTTTCCATACTTACCGTACGAAACACAGCATTAAGCTGTTATTTTACGCTAGTCTTTTACCGTTCGAGTCGACCATTTCTTAAGCAACAATAATCTAACTGCAGCGCAAATTAATTCAGTCAACATGTATTAAGGCTACAACTTTACTTTTAACTTTTTATACAAACATTTACTTCGTGCG